AATAAAATGAGTAAAGCTCAATTAATAAAATAAGATTACTAATTTGGAAGATAGTTGAAATAAAACTCCATGATGTGATAAATGCAAGAAAGAGTTAACAAATAAGACCTTTAAGATGCAGTGAAGGAATATTTGTCACCAAGGTAAGGAAAGATTATTAACTATCTACTTTTGAATACATAAGTCAGGTTTTTGAAGCCTTTTAGAAACGGTTTCATCAAACTTCAAAGGACTAGAGTTTGGCGACTTACTAATCACCTTGAACGATTGCAGGGTATCTACCTGATGTCCTATAACAAGGAGATGTTTGGTAATTGCATTGTTTAGAGTCTTTCTTTCTCTTGTTCTGAGGCTTTTTGGAATATGTTCAAAAAATCTAAAATATGCCCTCCTTTCTGTCCGGCCAATGTAACTGTTCCGGCAGGTACACATAAATTTAGCGGTAACATGAATGGAGTGCTTGTCAACCTTTAATTGAGTTATTGAACATGTTGTTTTAATACATAATTAATAGTTTGGTTGCCGGATAAGTTTTGCCTAGCTCAGTGTTCAGTCTCCTGCTGATTGTGCTTGCTATATCATCACCTTTGAAGTCAAGATTTATAGATATTTGTTTTTTTTATTAACCGTAGTTACTTCCATTTTGTTTTCTTTAGGTTTTTTATACTTTAATAGTTGAATTCATGAGTCAGTTAAAACTAGACTACCATTGAAAACCTGAAAGCATTGGATGGCCGTTTCATCCTAATATGGGACTCCGAAGCAATGCACCTCCATGATACCGCCTTTTGAGATTCGAACCCAGGATCTATCGGTTTCGCACGCGAGCATTTAACCACTAGACCATTAAGCCGGTCGGCATCCAACGTTATTAATGTTTAACTTCAACTAAATTTGTCAATAAATTTCTGTTGGTAACAGTTATCTCTTAGGCATTATTCAAAGTTCATTAATTCTTCTTCTAATTTGTCAGTGATACATGAAGATATTATTTTAGGTTTACTAATACATGATTAATTCAATTATTACCATTCGACTTTATTATTATTATTCTTTTATTTAATTAATTCGTTTCTATATTGTTTAAATGTCAAGATTCATCAATAGAAGAAATGATACCTTTATTGATCAAATTATAATATTTACCTATTCCTATTTCTCCTTATTTGGAATGTTATACAGGAGTTTTGAATGAAGTTACTAGTAAGTACATCAATGATAAATCTATCTTCATTTCCCCTTCTACACACACATATAGGCAGACACACACACACACACACACACAAGGAACCATCAACTACATGGATAGATTGACGCATATTTATGTACACACCATAAAATAGTTGAACCGTGTAAATTTATTTACTGCATGATTTATTATTACAAACACACTAGAATATGGATGAACCAAAAGTTTAAGTTTCATGTTAAATCTTTGAATATCATAACTACAGTAAGATATAAACAATGATGTTTTGCTTAATTGAATTCATTAATAGTGTGTATCTGAAATATTCAGTTATATAATATTTCGTGGATTGGTTGAAATTAGACATTAACACTGTTGTATGCCGATCGGTTTAGAAGTTAAGCGTTCACTCGAAAGACTTACAGATCCTAGGTTTGAATCTCGCGAGGTGGGATCATGGGTGCGCACTGCTGAGGAGTCCTACAATAGGACGAAACGGTCATCCAATGATTTAAGCCTTTATTATTCTTATCAAAAACTAGTACACCTGTTATCACACTATCAATTTGTACTTTTCACTTATTATGTAATCTATTCCACTGTTATCATCATTAATTCATAAACTGCCTTGATTGGTTTAATAATTTCATATATGCATATAAATACATTACTGTATATTAGAGTAAAGCCTGATGATGATCTAACTGAAAACATTATTATTCGCTTATATCAATGTTATTCTAAATTTATTTTTAATATTCAGGAATGAAACTAATCAGTGTCTGTTGACATGTTTTCATTTCTCAGTGGATTATTTAAAGCTGATAATTATCAATCAATAATATGTGCGTTATTTAAAGTTGAAGAGTTACAATTGATTGATTAGTAGTCAGTGATCAATGTAATTCTATCAAGCAAGTTGCACTGGAGCCATTAGTTTGGGTGACTCGACATTGAGTGCATTAGTTTAAGATGAGATGGTGGTTGGAGGTAGTCGATAGAAAATCCTGGACTTAGGTTTCATTCTATTTGGCACACATCAGAAAGATGTACTTTTGATCTTCAGGGAACTGATGCTTTCAGATGAATTCGATCCTATGTTAACCAGCTTCACAGTAAGAAACTTTACCATTGAGCTATCCCGACTGCGACTGATCTCCTGTAGGACTAAGATGTATTTACAAAGTTGAAAATTACATCAGACGTCATGAGTTATGAGGTGTCTAAAAGTAACACTACCTCGTTGAAACAGATAAAAGACAAGTGTTATTGGTCAATCTGTGAATGCAAAGTTATCGATTTTTTAACTTGGGTTCTATGTTTTGTATGTAAAATAATCGTTTGGATTTTCCAATGTAAACTATCGTAATCATTTATTTAACAATAATATCTTCTGAATTACTTATGGTTAGTATTTAGGGCTACGTGGATGCACACTGCTGAGGAGTCCCATACTAGGACGAAACGGCTTTCCAGTGCTTCCAGGTTTTCCATGGTGGTCTAGCTTCAATTGACTCATGATTTCAACCAGTGTACATTCATTAAGTCAATAATTAATTTCCCTATATCATTTGGAAATACCGATGTTTTACATTTATTATAATAATCATTTATACCCTATTTGACCAGAATATCAACATGTTCAAGATGGATTCTTTTTGTTTCATTTGAAGTTAATTTATTATTATCATTATTATTATTATATGAAATCGAAATCGAAATACTTTCGTATGGTAGGCTCAATGAACACTAATGGGACATTTTGATTCAGATTCAGATTTATGTAGTAAGAATAGAAGGTCTACGGTCTATGTTATTCCTTTTCTAGTATGCTTCTATGAGTGTCTGTTCTTCTCTTGAATGAGTCAATTGAAGGTGCGGACACCATTGCTTCGGGTAACATATTCCAGGAAACTGATGCCTCTGAATGAAAACTTGTATGCCACGGGTATTTTTTCGTTCCTGGCTTTTCTGGCCGTCTGCTATGTCCTCTGAGATGTCCCGATCTAGTGGGAAGAAAAATAGAGGATATATTAGATCCAAAACCACTTTTTTGCTATTCTATACTGTGATAATTAGGAGTATTTGAATTATAGTATGAACTAAGAATCCCAGAAATAACGTAATTGGATCAAGAAGTACTAGATAACCACAAACGAATGTACTGTATTTAGAATTCGAAATCAAGCATTCAACAAGTACAAAGGAATCATTAATTCATTTAAACACTACATATACGTTAAAATTAGATCATCTCTTAATCTGCGATAGGATAGAATAAAGAGGTCTAGCTTTTAAAGTCACCCTTTTTATGGTAAACCCTGAAGTTCTGGAATTACACGGGTAGCCGCTCTCTGTACTTTTTTCAGGATATTCGAGTCACTTTCTAAACAGAGGTTTGCATCCTCAATGCAGTTTTCAACCTTAGTTCTCACTAAGGTTGTATATACTGTAGTGAACATCATAATAGCTGATCATCATAAAAAGAAATTTCGTATCATTATTTTTAATCAAACACTGGGTGGGTGGGGGGAACAATTGTAATTGACATCTTATCACAGGTTGAAATCATGAGTCATTTGAAGCTAGACCATCATGGAAAACCTGGAAGCACTGGACGGCCGTTTCGCACTAGTATAAGACTCCTCAACAGTGCGCATCCATGGTCCCACCAGATTCGAACCCAGGACCTATCAGTCTCGCGCGCGAGCGCTTAACCAACTAGATAACTGAGCTGGGCGGTATCCAACAGTGTTAATGCCTAACTTCAACCAATCCACGAAGTTGAGCCAACCTGTGAAATTGCTAAAAATCTCTACAAAACCCATTCTGATAATAATCAACTGCTCACTAGTGACTGACTTCAGGAGATACTCCTGGATTTCTAATGAGAAGCCGTTACCAGTGATATCTTATCAATTTATATTTCATTGAACATTGATCATTTTCAGAAATACTTTGTTTTATCACATTATTGATTTACAAAATATATTATATCAGTTGAAAATATCAAATCTCAACCAATCAGAAAATTTACCTGTCTATCAATCTATCAACAAACATATATACACATATTATAAAATAGTATGTTTATCTATCTATTTTCCTTTCTGATTACAATACATATTATTATTATTAAAGATTAAAGTGTACATTTATTCACAAAAATGGATGATCTATTCAACATAATCGAGTTGATTAACTCAATGATTCTTTTGTAAGAAATTACATCATCATTATGATTGTATCATGGTATTCTCTCCTTTTTCCCCTACTAATTATGGTATGTTGTGTTATCATCTAACAGTCAATAATGGAAGGTATCATTTTTTTTCTATGTAACTCTATATTCCTCATCTATGAATGTTATGATTTTGTGTTTCTTATTGTTGAATCGAATATTCTTTTGTTAGTTTTATAATATTATTAGAATAACATGTGATATATTGTATAAATAAACGGAAGTAAGCAAGGAAACACGACGCGCACGCTTACACGCACGTGTGTGTGTATGTGTGTACATCATTGGGATATTGATATATACACTGATGTGTGTGTGTGTGCTTGTCATATATGTGTACTTGTGTACTTGTATACAACTGGGAAATAGTGTAGGATACAAATGTAATTCAATCATTTAAAAGATACATATGCTTGGATATAAAAGTAAACATGAATTAGGAGAAACCATATAGATTTATATCATCTAAAACATTTTCACTGAATAATCAAATATTGATTGTGATTAGACTAAATTTATTAATTAGACATTTATTATTAAGTTCCTTCAATAAATAAACAAATAAACAAAATGGAGAATGGAGAAGATGAAGATGAAGATGATCTTTCTGAAGCATCATTTTATCAATCACAATTACATACAGTACAATTAAGAAATAAATTAGTCAATCAACAATCAGGTAGTCGTGCACCAACAATGACTATAGATGTTGTACGTGTTGGTAGACCATTAAAAGTAAGTTCAATGAATAATAGATAATGTATTGTATATGAGTTTTATTTACTATAGTAAACACTCTATGATTTCATCTAGAACAGTGAGATGATGTATATGCTTATACATTTATAAATAATAATATTTTCCTTGGTGGTCTAGCTTCAATGAACTCATGATCTTATAGTAGGCGTCGAGTCGCGATTGACTATGATCACCACTACAGAATGACTATTTGCCAGTTACTAGGTTAGATACCTCTGTAGGCCAATTATCGGTAGGCAGTTTAAGGTTGTAGTAAGATGTATGTGTTGGCAATCTCATGTTATAGAAATAATACCGAGGTCCTGCCAAAGTATACAAGTGGGACTACTGAGCATACGACAGTTCCTACAAGGTCATAAACAACAGATGAGGGTGTTTTTGGATACACTAAAACAAACAAGTACAGTAAAACAATCACTGATTATAATCATTGGTTATAATAATCATGATAATTGTTTCCGTTATACCAATTTTGTTCTCTTCATGAAAGTAGGTCACAACAATCTCAACCATTGAAATTACTATAATATCCACAAAAACCCCGACTGACAGTAATCAGCATATGCTCACTAGTGACTGGCTTCAACAGATATTTCCTGAAGTTCTAGTGAGAAGAAGTGATCAGTGGAGTTCAATCGAGTCTGTTGTGCGATAGTAACTCACTAAATACAATGTTAGAAGTGTCTCTCACTTTCGTGGCTTAGTTGAAGTTAGACATTAACACCGTTGGATGTCAACCGGCTCAGTGGTCTAGAAGTTATTCGTTCGCGCGCGAGACTAACAGATCCTGTTTTTGAATCTCGAGAGGCGGTATTGTGGATGTACACTGCTGAGGAGTTTCAAAATAGGACGAAATGACCTTTCAGTGCTTCCAGACTTTCCATAGTTGTCTAGCTTCAACTGACTCATGATCTCAACTATTGAAATAATATTGTAGTTAAAAAAACTAGTTATATTTTCACTAATTACAATTCTCAGTCATTAATGGAATGCATTTATCGGGTTAATGATTACTTGATGTTGTAATTTTGTTACTTAGACAGTAAGAATTTGTTTTGGAAGTACCAATAAGCTCTCATTAACTTACCAGTCATCTATTGAATAATAAGTATTGTTTTATCCTTAGTGTTAATTCAATTTTACCTCTTGATCAAGTTATTGATATAGCTACTAGATTAAGTGATATCAAAGTGGGTTAAGTTCCATTCTAAATAATTCAGTGATAAAGTTCTTGAATATGATACTTGATGGAGATGTGTATTCAAAACTAACAAGTGCATCAGTTTCACTACATCAATATTCTGTAACCCTATAGATATTGTTGTGTTTTGAAGTCCGGCTTCTTATCACGTAATTTATTCTTCAATCAAAATACAACGTATTCAATCTTAGTACTGTGCTAAATAAACGACGTTCGATCAGTATGAGCAGTCTAGAAGACTTATTGATCCTTTGTTCGCTTAACCCCGTCCGATTGAGTCCAGAACACCAATAACAGTTTCCATTATGCGAATCATTCATTTCAAACATACTTGGTTTATATACAAGCCAAACAGACCACATCACACCATGAAATAGGAAATAACATTTATACAAGATCAAGCCAAAAAGTGGCTGTGAACGTGATTGTGGGAGACTGTAAATTATAAACTGAGCGTAACTTAAGAATGGTGGTATAATAATAAATTATAACTGAAAATGAAGCTTATAATAAGGGGAATATGAATATACATAATCTAATTACTGAATAGTTATACGATAAGAATATATAGATAATATTTATTTCATTAATAGGTCTCAGGAGTTACTCGTAATTTAATCTTCTCTAGGATATAACACAAACATTAATCTCCAGGATCCTGAAGGAACAAATGTCGTATAAACCAATCGTCGGTCACTGGCTACCACGGAACTATATCTCTTCAGGTCTCAGGAGTTACTCTTAATTTCATCTTCACTAGGATATAACAGATATATTTAGAGCTCTAAAGGTAAAGTATTTCTTTCCCATTCAAAATATCAATTATCCCCATACAAATCAGTTTAGTATTATCATTTCGTTCTACTGAATTTACTAATTGATTAAAATATTCTTACAATGAATAAATCTTATTGTAATAACTATATTCAAATAATTATATCATATGAAACTTCATATATATAACATGTGTAAGCTAATCATACGATTACATAATACATGTATGACTAGTTGGTATTGGAGTAAACGAGAACACAACTGAAGATAATTGAATGTATTTCCACACAAGATTACAGTAGATGGTGGTTGAAGGTAGTCGACATGAAACCCTGGACCCGGGTTTCGTGCTACCTGGCACTCGTCAGCAAGGTGTACCTGTAATTTTGAGGGAATTGGGGATCCCTGGCGGAGTTTATCCCGTGTCACTCAGCTTCACGGTCAGAGACGTTACCACTGAGCTATCCGGACCCCAACTGACCTCCTGTAGGACTGAGATGTAATCACAATTGATTGATCACTGGGTGGTGATCAATGTCATTTGTGTCAAGTTTCCTGTCGACTACCTTCAACCACCATCTAATTTCAATATAAAGTGCACGCAGTTTCGAGTCATTTAGACTGGTGGCCACATTGCAACATGGTCGATAGCATTCGATCTACACTAAATAAGGACTTGACACACATGACAATGATCACCACCCAGTGATCAATCAATTGTGATTACAAAATTACAGTAAATACTTCATTTACAAAATGTCAATCAACTGTCTCAAACATTACAATATCTTCATTTCTACAGCAATCATTCTTTATTCTAGTTCTCTTTTCTTTGATCTTCTTAACCTTCTACTGTCAGATATTCCACTTTCGATTGATGATACATACTACTTATATCTATCGACATCAGTAGTGTACACCACAGTTTCAGTAGTCGGTAATTATTCAAATGCAATAATGTTTTTCATTTAATTACTTTCAATAAGAAACTGTTAAATATGAAAAAAATGGTTTTGAGACAGATTTTTATTATTAAATAATCAAATAATATGCTTTCATTTTCCATGGAGTTTTGTTCTCTAAGTTAGATGGTTTAGTCGTGGAGCTTTCATCGTTCTTCTGAACGACATCATCAGCACAGCTTTAATTTTCATCAATTGAATTTCGGTTGTGCTGAATATATATGTTAAAATTAAATATAAATAAATTTCTTCAAATTCAATCATTTCAGTAAACCAGTTAATTAAACGAAAAAAATTTCTATCAGAAGGGTTTTCTAGATATTATAGTTATTTCAATGGTTGAGATTGTTGTGACCTACTTTCATGAAGAGAACAAGTTTGGTATAATGGAAACAATTATCATGATTATTATAACCAATGATTATAATCAGTGATTGTTTTACTGTACTTGTTTGTTTTAGTGTATCCAAAAACACCCTCATCTGTTGTTTATGACCTTGTAGGAACTGTCGTATGCTCAGTAGTCCCACTTGTATACTTTGTCACGACTTTGGTATTATTTCTACACCATGAGATCGCCAACACATACATCTTACTACAACCCTCAACTGCCGGCTCAGTAGTTAAGCGCTCATGAGAGAGGCTGGTAGGTCCTGGGTTCGAATCTCGATAGGCGAGGTCGTAGATGCGCACTACTGAGTAGTCCCACAATACCACGAGACGGCCGTCCAGTTCTTTCAGATTCTCCATGGTGATCTAGCTTGAATTGACTTATGATCCCAATTATTTAAAAACATTTTTTTTTAAATTGTTAATATCTAATGAATTTGTATCTTCCTATGACAAATTTGTGTAAAATTTAGTTTTATTTAGTAAATCTTTGCTTACGCCTGTTACTCCTAATGGAGCATAGGCCGCCGGCCAGTATTCTTCAACTCACTCTGTCCTGAGCCTTCCTTTCTACTTCTACCCAATCTTTGTTCATTCTTCTCATGTTTGTCTCCATTTCATGGTGCAATATGTTCTTTAGTCTTCCTCTTCTCCTTTGGCCCTGAGGATTCCATGTGAGGGCTTGTGTTATGATTCTGTTGGGTGCTTCCCTCAATGTGTGTCCTATCCACTTCTAGCGCTTCTTCCTGATTTCTTGCTCCGCTGTTATCTGGTTTGTTCTCTCCCATAGTATGTTGTTGCTTTTAGTGTCTGGCCAACGGATCCGAATTTATTTGCGTAGACAACTGTTAATAAATGCTTGTATGTTCTGGATGATGGCTTTCGTAGTCCTTCAGGTTTCCGCCCCACACACTAGAACTGTCTTGACATTTATATTAAAAATTCTAACTATGATGTTGGTTGACAATTGTTTTGAGTTCCAGATGTTCTTCAGTTGTAAATATGCAGTTCTTGCATTGCCGATCAGCGCTATCACGTCTGCATCAGATCCATAGTGAAAATAGAATTCTTTTTGTTAAAGTTAACAACACAGTAGATCATACTGTTAGTGATGTAGTCAGTACTAGACATTACTGTAAAATATCGACAAAATTAGAAATATTTACACACATTGTAATATATGAACCATAGAAACTTATCTGTTATATTATTCAACTAAAATTTTAATGATTTAAGTTATCTCATTGCTGATATTTCGTCTGAAATCTGATATCAGAATCTGGATCCAGGCACATTTAGCTGACTAGTCCCAATCACACTCTATCTATTGTATATAAAATCAATTAATTGATTTGCATGAAAAGGGAAGTAATATATATACGTAACTTAGTAGTTTAATTATTTTCGTTAGCTGTAACATCCTATTTATTGATTTTATAAACTATATACTTCGATTGAATTATTGATTAATCGATTTTTTTTTAAACTTTTGACAATTTATTACATTCCAATTGATTGATTTATCGACAATATAAAATGACATAAAACTGTAAATTGTACTTACGTGCAAATCAATGTTTAATGCATATCTTTATCTAACGATCCTGGTCTGTTTAATTGAATCGGATCATTTCAATCTTCTTCTATTG